AGCAGAGGGGCAGGATGGGGATGTTTTAGGGAAAGGCCCAGATTTTCCTGCTGAAATTCCTGATCTCTAGTTGTCCTCTCCATCCTCTGAGGAACCAGAGGGCCCTGGCTGACCRCAGTGTCCTGTCCATGTAGGTATGAGGAAATCCAGCGGGCGCAGGAGGAGCTGGGTGCTGGCGTGGCAGAGGTGGCAGTGGAGGCCAGGAGAGCTCTGACAGCYGTGGAACAGGCACACGCTGACCTGGCCCAGACACTCCTGCAGGTGGCTGCTCTGGGGCAGGTGAGCAGCACCCAAACTGCGGCTCCTGCTGGTATCCCCACCTCCAGCTTTCCCCAGAGCTGTCTCCTGAGCTGGGAGATTATCTCATGGAGCTTTTGGCATCCCTGACCCTGCAGCAGGTGCTGCCAGCACAGGCTGGAGAGCTGGCACAGGAGCTGGCAGCGCTGGAGCAGGCAGCAGCAGCCCAGGAGCCGTTGGCTCAGCAGGCTGTGGAGRCATCCCACACCCTGGCAGCCGGATTGCGCCTGGAGCTGCAGAGGACTCACAGCTTCGAGCAGGTAATTGCTGCTCACTTGCATGGGGAGCCCATCCCTGCTGCTCCAGCAGCTTGAGCCAGGGATCTGGCAAAGATTGTTTTGGGAGAAATCTTTCCTTGGGCTCCCAGATGTCCCCAGGAGCTTGCCTGCCAAAGAGGAGCAGGTTGAGACCCACCTTTTCTAGTTCTTCACCCTTTCCCCAGCCTCACTCCTCCTCTCCTCTCCCAGCTGCGGGACCGGGCTGGCACTGCCCTGGACGTGGCCACCACGGCTGTTTCTCAAGGGAAAGCTGTGCTCTCTGATGCCGATTCCCTCCTGGCCAGCTTGGAAGGTAAAAGSCACCAGTCAGAGTATCTCCAGCCACAGCTTGGCTGTCACTGTGCTGGCTCTGGGTGACAAGGAGAGAATTGGCAGTTTGGTGACAGCCAAGTTGTTCCCACAGGCATGAAGAAGGTGCTGGGGCATCGGAAGGGTCAGGCTGCCCTGAGGAAAAGGATGGCCACTGTGCGGGACAGAGTGATGGTGGATGCCCAGAGGAGGATTAAACAGGCAGAGAAGACACTGGGAAACTCCCTGTCCATTGCCACTGCAGCCCAGAGCAGAGCTGGGCAGGCTGAGCAAGTTTCTGCAGAGAGTGCCAAGGTGCGAGCTGAGGGATGTGGGGGMAGCTGCTGGGCACGGCCAGGCTGGCAAACAGGAGCAGAGCCCAGACTGCTGCAGGCARGGCTCAGTGTCCCCAGGTGACTGCTGCCATCCCCATCTCTCTGCAGAGGGCACGGGCTGTGCTGCAGGAGAGCAAACAGGCCCTCAAACACGCCAGCCAGCTCGCCACACGTGCCAATGAGACCCAGTGGGAGCTCTCCCGGCAGGAGCACATGGCTCAGAAGCTATGGGGAGACCTGGAGGAAGCACAGCAGGTGAGTTGGGTCCCCTCGGGCAGGTTGTGTTCTACAGAGCCCAGAAGTGGTTTTGCCCATGCCCCAAAGCATAGGGAACAACCTGGTTTAAAAGCTCCTGCAGGGACAATGCTGTGGGGATGTTCCTGGGATCTCCTCGACCCAGGAATCAGTCAATGGTGTCTCTGATCTGGGTGTCTCTGTTGGAAGGTGGGGTCAGAGGTGAGTGAGATGGCAAAAAGTCTCCAGGAAGCCCGGGGCTCACTCATGTCAGACATCAAGACCCTGAAYGACCTGCTGAACAGCCTAGGTGAGACCTGGGGGGAAATGGGGTGCAGGTTCCAGGGAAAGGACTGGGCTCTCGGTGGCCAGAGCTCTCCTGCTCACTGGCCCCCTGCTTGCTGGCCATCTAGGCTGAGCTGCTGTCCTTTGGTGGAGATCACCACGATCTCAGCAGAGCTTCTTTAAAGCTCAAGTCTTGAGSAAAAGCCTCATGAAGGGTGAATTGAGGCTTGCTGAATGTGTGTGCTCATGCCTAGCCTGGGTACACTGATCTCTCCTGGGATCCTCAGGGGGGCAAGGCTGGCAAAGTCCCCTTGGAGCAGAGGGCTGTGCTAGACTGGGTTTACTTGTTGTTGCTGATTGGTTTTTCTCCAGCTCCTCCTGTTTTGATCTTCTGGGTATATTTCTGTGCACATCTCTGAGCATTCCAGGACTCTTTCATCCAAGAAATTTTGCAAAAAGGTGGAAATGGTGACCCATRTGTAAGAGAGAGAAGTGCCCAGGCCCTGCCTGGGGCCACAGCCCTGTTTGCTTATCTGTGATCAGTGAGAAGCTGCAAAGCCTCCATGCCCTGCTGCACCCACTCCCTATAGTTCACCTGGTGACTTTATCACCATTGACTATATCCAGGACCTCCCCTGCCCAGGTCTCTGCTCTCATTCATGCTCTCTCCCCCATGCCCAGGCAAGCTGGAGCAGGTCACGGAGGTGGACGCAGTGCTGAGCGCCGGGAGGCTGCAGCTGGAGCGGCTGTGGCTGCGCCTGGCCACGCCGGGCCCCCTGGCYGGCCAGCTCAGCCGGCTGCAGCAGGAGGCAGCACGGCAGCAGGAGAAGATCCAAGCGTTTGAGAGCGACTTGGCTGAGATCCGGGCTGACAAGCAGAACCTGGAGGACATTCTGCGGAGCCTCCCCGAGAGCTGCTCGCAGTGACGGGTCCCCACCGTGCCCCACCCCCGCACGGGGGAGGGCAGAGGGAAGGACACTYTGCATTCCCCAGCATCGATCCTCCCACTGCTCCTCACACTGCCCTCTGTTCACTGTCACACCCCAGGTCCTTCTCCACACCCGTTCAGGCTCTGCATCCTGAGCACTCTGCAGCATGAGTCCAGCCATCACCACTGCCCTAGGGACAGGGGACACCCACCTACCAGGGACCTCCGATGTTTCTGTGCAGGATGTGGAGCCATCCCAGGGCTGGTCTCTCACTGCAGAGTGAACAAAGGATCCTCACAGATCTCCATCCTTCCATTCCCACCGCAGCACGATGCACTGGGCAGGAACAGCTTACCAAGAATGTAACATACCCAAGCTATACTGCCCAGCAATCCCTCCTGCCCCAGGACATGAGAGAGGCTCTCTCACACGTGCTGGAAGCTGGTCCTGCTGCACAGCACCCTGCAGTGTCATGCTGACGGGCTGTGGYCACAGAGGTGCAGAGAGGAATCCCGGTGAAGCCAGGCAGAGCTGTTCACCAGAGGGCATACAGCTTGCCTGCTTCCCAGGGGAAGGGAATTCACAGCAGGGAGGGCTAAATGAAGGAGCAGAACCAAAGCAAAGATGGATCCTCACCCAGCTCCTGGAAGGCAGGTGGGGCATCCTYAGCACTGCTTCAGTATGAGAGGAGTTCAGTTCTTGCTGCTCCCCTGCTCCAGGGCAGCACAAGGCCACAGCTCCTTGTATCCTGTCCCATCTCTTCTTGCCTCACCAAATGTCACCAGGCATGGCTATGAACCAGCCAGCTGCCACCAGTCCCCGGGGCTGGGTGGCATAGAAAGGGAAGGGAGGTGTGAGAGAAGCAGTACCCACAGCCCCACACAAGCACCCGTGCCCCAGTGGAGAGGAGCCGGCTGGTGGCACCAAGCTGTGCAGCCAGTGGGGAATGGGTGGGGAACAGCTGGACACYCGCTCCTGCCTGTGTCACTCCCACGGGTGGCAGAGGTCAGTGGCTGTATTGCCTTTAAAGGAAAGGCATTTATGTTCCCCTGTGCTCCCATGTGGGCTGGGCTGCAGGACAAGCCAGGTCCTGGCTCAGCCCATCTTATGCTGGCTGTGCTGTGACTCCAGGTAGCTGAAGTCATTCCCATAAGACCAGAAAGGAATCCCCAGGCTGGATCTTGCTTCATTTTTTTAACCGGTTTTACCTATATTTTTCTGCTCACAGTGCTGCAAATCAGGTTTGCTAAAGTCTTGTGTAATTTATGTAAAAYTGCTGTCATCGATGTTGAATTCCCCCAGCAACATTTTTGGTGGGTCCAGTGGCCTGGAAGGAACACAGGATTTTCCTACTGAGAACAAAACCATTGCTCTTCTAATTCTGCACAAAAGCTGCCCAAGGAGTGGAGTGCCAGAGCTGCAAGGCTGTGGGGGTGTAATGACAGGGGCTCACCTCCTGCTGCCCAAGGACAGCTCTGGGAAAGTAAAACCGTGGAGCAGTGAGAGCACAGCGTGATCCAGCTCGGCCAGAGGCAGGGAGCCATGGCCACTTACTGTCTCTCCGGGAGGACAATTACACATCCCCTGTGAACACACAAATTTGCTGCTCTTACAGAAATGTCAAGCCTCTGCTGTGTGCCTGCTGCTGAAGATGTGGTTCACACTCCCTCCTGCTCCCCCTGAAACTCTGTTTTTAGCTGGTGCCAACCTGCCTAGAGCTGTATCCATTAAAAATTCCTAATACAACACATAGCTGCCCATCCCGAATGTGTGGCGGCAGGAGAGCACACGCGGTACCTGCGCTTGGCTGCTTTTAAAGAGCAGGGGTTGAAATGCGGCYGCGTTTGGGGTAGTGAGGGGCAAATGTCTGACAATTCCCACTAAACTCTGCGTTAGTAYATGTTTTTAACATAAGGTGTCAGGCTGAGACCGCGGGGGCGTGCGACCCGGGCCGGGACCGGGTCATCACCGCGGCCGTGGCTGTCCCKCGGCTCATCCCTTTTCCCGCTGCGGGCGCTCCAGGGTTTATCCAGCACCTGCGAGCGACTGTGCCTTATCGCCCCTGTCTCTCTGCCGCCGGTACCGGTACCGGCGCGGCGATGCCGCACCCGGGGCGGCTCCGGAGCGATCCCCGCTGTCCCGGGGCAGCGCCCGGCGGGCGGTGCGAGCAGAGGGAGCCGTTCCCTTCTCTCTGAGGCAATGCCTCCCCCGTTCTCGGGCACTCGGAGCMCGCCGCGGGTACCACGCTTGCCGTCCCGGAGCGATGCACACTCCGCCACCCGCCTGCTGCCAGCACCGGGCGGAGAACGGGTTAAGGGCGGGGGGCGGAGGGCCCGGCCCGGCCCTGCCCGCCCCTATTTAAGGMGGCGGCGGGCACGGGGAGGTTCGGTGCGATGGCGGCTCCGCGCCGGCCGAGCGGCGGGGGGCTGCGGAGGGCTCCGCAGGACGGGCGGCTGGAGGAGATCAACAAGGTGGGGCTGGGGCCGCCTCCCGAGCCGATCCCCGTGGGGAGGGGGCTGCAGCGGAGCCGGGCGGGGCAAGAGGAAGAGGAGGAGGGGGGCGGTGAGTGCGGACCCCTCTGCCCGAGCCCCTCTGGAGAGGGGGATCCGGCCGGAGGAGGAAGGGGGTTTCTACGGAGATCGCTCTCCGTCCCTGGTGGTGCCTCGCAGGCGGCTCTTTCCTCCCCGTGCACCGCACCCCGGCAGGTCCGAGCGGTTTGGTGGGCACCTGGGGGCTKGCTGCTGTGAAATTCCCTTTGGGAACGTGGTCCAGCAAGAATGGGGGCTGTTGTTCTCCTGGAGAACTTCAGCCTCCCCTCTGCTGTATCGAACGTTTCAACTTCTTCTTCTCAGAATGTGAAGTTTCTGCTGCTCAGAGCTAACTCCAGCTTTCCTAGCTTTTCATTACACCGGGTGAATGTGTAGCCCAGGATGGCTGGACGTCCCACAAGCCTTGGGCAGGGGGAATAGCAGCTCCTGGATTAGTGCAAAGTGCACTGGGCTTTGTGCCCTTCATGCTAGGGTTAGGCAAGGTCCTCTCCCCCGAGCTTCAGGGTTCCCCTGTCCCTTGCTTGGCATGGCTGTGCGGGCAGTTCTGTTGGCATCCCTCCCAGCTAAGAGCGGTTCTGAGGGTGAAAAGAAGGTTTTAACCTTGAAGCAAACAGTGCTGGGTWGTGAGTGGCACGTTGGTGTTACAAGTGCAGAAATCAAATTGCTGCACAAGATGAGAGCCCGGAGGAGATGATGGGCTCACCTTGCCCTCACACTGACTAAGCTGTGAAAATTGCCAATATGTTCCACCAGACAGCAGTGAGACAGTAGAGGTGAAGTTTAGGTCACTGGAGAGGGAATTAGGTCATTAGAAATTACTCAATTAATTAGAAATTAGGATGTGCTGCGGATAAGAGGGGGAAAAGAGGTGTCGTGGCATAAGGTGTAGAATAAGAGCATTTAGGTAAAAAAGAGCCTTTGTAAGCTGCTGCTGGAAGGCAGACACAGCACACCCTGCACCAAGGAGCTGTGTAGGTGGGTCTCACATATTTCCCCTAGCCAAGGTGGTGTTGGCCCTTAGGCTGGGGGCAAAAGGACTGTGTTGTACCTAGTACTGCAGTTTCTGCTTTTCCAGAGCCATCCTCCAGTGTCACCCAGGCACAAGGTGGATTCATGATCCTTAAGCTGCTGTAGGACTGAGTTTGGGAAGCCGTGCTTATTGGGATGTTGCTGGTGTGCCACTGCTGTGCCCCAGGGCTGGGGGCTGTTCCTGTTCCCATACTGGGAATAGGCTCCTATCTCTCCCCAAAACTTCCACCACTTTTGGCCTTTACTTTGGCTGATGCTTGGATAACAAAAATGAAACAAGCTTTGTGACTTCCTGCTGACAGAGCTGCTTGTTTGCATCCTTGCTGCCCTGTGTGCTGGCTCAGTGCTCCAAGACAGGGTTTGAGCAGCTCTAAGCCAAGCTGCAGATAGCACGGGTGGCAGATGCCCAGGGATCCTGAGAAGCCATCGTGCTCTGGGCAGCAACTCCCACGCTGCTCTGCTTTGCCAGCTCTGTGTGGCWGTGGGGGAGTGCAGCAAACAGCCTCACGCCTCCCTGACAAAGTGCTGATAGGGAAACTTGGGCTGATACTGTGGCTGGAGCCAGGGAGGGGGTTTCCCAAGCACTGAAGAGCCCTAAGGCTGTAAAACAGTCAAGTGCTCCTAATAAAACCTATCAGGCCAAATTCCTATCAGGCTTAATCTCATTGTCTCATCCTAACACTTAGCTGCCTCCAGCCCTRTTTTCCTGGCTGGTTTCTACCCCAGAGCTCTCACTGGGACACGGATCTGGCAAGGCAGTGTGCTGACTACACATGTGCTGCTGAAGGATAGCTGAGTCCTGGTGCTGACTTCTCCCTTCCAGCCTCAAACTCTCCTCTGGGCTCCCCTCTTGGTTGTTCCCCTCTTTTCGGGCAATGCAATCACATTGTCCAGCCTCGTGCATCAAGGTGGCAGGTCTAATCCAGCACAGATTAGTTTCAACCTAGTTTTACCCTSTAATGCGCTGGGCTGCGGGGAAGGAATTCAGCCTGTTAGAGAGCAGGTGCCTGCTTCTGCCATCCAGGGCAAGCATGAGCATCCCTCAGCCCCTTCCCAGCCCCAGCAGGCAGGGTGGCTGGCACTGAGCACTTAAACATCCCAGGGAGAGCTTGATCTGCCAGCTGGAGTCACCTTTTTGGGGAGTGAGGAAGGATATGGCTTTGCCCAGGTTGTCTTGAAGGTAGCTGGGACTTGTGTGGCTGYGTTTATTGGCTTAGAAAGGTCTCTCAGCAGTTCAGGGAAGGCTGTTCAGGGCAGGAGCGGGGGAGAGGCTTTTATAAAGCAGTTCTTATTAATAGAACATGCCCCTTAAAATGGAAACTTTGGCAAAGGGCTCTAGGAGGAACTTCAGCCACTCTGCGTTTGAGTCACAGGCCCTGGGGACTGAATTCCTGTGTGCCATTGTGAGCGCTTGCCTTATCGCAGTCACAGCCCAGCTCACACACAATGTGAAGGCTGGAATGCCTTTCAAATACACCCCCTTGTTGCTTCCTTGCAGCTGGAGCAGAGCTGAGGTGCTGGTGGGCTGTCCATTCCCCCTTCAGCTGAAACACAAGGGAACTGAGTCCTAGTCCTGTGTGCAGTGTCACCTGTCAGGCTGCCAGGGGCTGATGCGCTCCTGGGCACATTTCCCTCAGCCATCACATCTGGATGCATTCCCCTCAGTCTTCACCGTTTCTTGCTCACAGAGACCCTGCCCTCACATCCACTGTCCTKCTGGGAGGTGGAAGCTGTTTGCTGTGACCTGGTGTCAGGAGGTGTTTTGGCCCTGTTTTGGTTTTTGGTGATGTTTGCCTTCTCCAGAGTCTATTCAGTGGCAATGGCAGCAGGTAACACTACTCTGGTCTCTGGTGACTTCTGCTGCTGCCTGAGCCCAGGTCTTGAAGCTGAATTGGACCCTTTGTACTGGGCTGGTAAATGATACCCCTGGGTAGAAATAACTGAGATAAATGAAACTGAGTTGGCAAAGGAGAGCAAAAGRAGGAAGCGGGAATGTTGCTTTTCASCACAGCTCTCAATTTGAGTTGGTGACCATGGTGATGAGGGAAGTCAGAGTCATGCTGGTTTGATGGCYGTGGTCTCTGGTGTCCCATCTGAAGTTCCCAGGGTGGGAGGAGGGGATGGCAGTCACGTCCATCCCAGTGAGCTTCCTACAAAACCCCAGTTCAGCTGCAGGTAAAAGACGTGCCGTAGCAGTGGTTAACTGGCAGTGAAAGGTTTGAGGACTCTCTGGGCAGGTCCAAGCTCCCCTGTCCCACTGAGAAAAGAGGGAGCAGCTCCAGGTATGTGGGCTGGAGAGACCCAGAGCACGGGAGCAGGATTAGGGTGACAACAGTGACCAGCACACAAGGCTCTTGGTGACCACTCCTGCCTTCCCCATGAGCATGGGGAGCAGTGCTGAGGAACACGTGCCTGGAGTAGGGAACAACCTCAGCCCTCCATCCACCAAACCCCTCTAGGGGATTTTCCTGGACAGGCCATGCATAAACTGTGCAGATGTTAATGATTTCTACCCTGAAGAATGTGGTGTTGTTGCTGAACACAGATCGAGTCATTAAGCTGCGCTGGGCTGGAGCTGGGTGGTGTGGGAGGGCAGGGACAGGAGCAGGACCCTGCTGCTCACAGCTGCGGGGAGTGTTGCTGGCAGGGCACAGCAGAAGAGTTGGCTGTGCAAGCCTTGGTCTGTTCTCTTGGGTATCTGAAGGTTTTTGAGCTGTGGCTAGGGACAGATGAGCAGAGGTGACCCAGGGTTTCCTCCCCAGCCTGAGCAGGGTAAGGGGATAAAATGGATATTTGGTATGGGAGAGTTCCTTAGCCCAAAATACCTGTCCTCTTGTGTGTATGACATTCTACAAACTTTGCCTGCTCTATTTGCAAGCCTTCTGAGTTTATCTAAGAGTTTGAAATCTGAGATAAGAGTGCTTTTTGCAAGGACTAGGAGCCCTTGCTAGAAATAAGTGCCCAATCCACATGTTGAGTGTGCTTAAGCAGAGATGTGGGGAGCTGAAACCTTGAGTGAGCAGAAAGAGAGGGTTTCATACAGTTGTTCCAAAAACAGGTGGAGTTCAGTCCTCTCACAAGCTACTAGTGGGAAATGTGAGACATCAGAGGGATTCCCCTTGCCCTGGAATGTTAATGACAAGGTGTGCAGGGATTCAGCCCTTTTTCAAGTCTCCTGGTGCTGTTGCTGAGCTGTGACTCTCTGAGTCACTCTCTGTGCCTCTGGAATTATGCGGGTCTTCTGGGTAATGCTGCCTTTGTAGGCTCCCTCCAGGGTGTTTTCCTTYGCATCTTTAACCTTGGGGATATTTTTTTTTTCTGTTTTAGGAGTTTCTCTGTGACCCAAAGTTCAGTGATGAAAAAGACCTGGAGGAGAAGCTGGCAATGTTCAAAGGTGAGAACTGGAGGGTTTCCCTGTCCTTTGAGCCTTACTGTTTGCTCTGAACCAGATTATTTTCCTCAGCACTTGGATCTTACCAAGATCCTGAGATTCTCTACCAAACACAAGCGACTGAGCTGGGATGGATGCCTCCCCTTGCTTGTGGGGCTCKGTGAAACTCCCCAGAGAGGTGTTTTCCATGCAAGCCTTTGTGCTTCTCCCACTTGCAGGGCAGGGACATGCCACCCTACAGCCATCCTGCCTRGCAGCTGCTGTTACTGCAAAACCTGCTGCGTGGGCAAAACCCTGGGGAGCAGCAAAGGCGGATGGTTTCTGTCGAGTTACCCAGCGAGCTAACTGGCATAATGGACCATGCAATAGTGGACTTTTTTTTTTTCAATAAGCAGGAGGATCTCATTCCACAGAACAGAAGTTTCAGCTGCTTTCTGGAGCAATTTCTCTTCCCAAAAGTTTCTTTAGTCCTTTCCCAGCCCCTTGACACCAGAGGGAACAACACTAATATGTCAACTTCTGGCCAAAGCCTGGCTCCAGTGGGTCAGCAGATCTAGGGCTTAGGTTTGGGTCTTTTCCTTGTACAGGGGGTAGAGAAACAGCTCAAAAGTCTGGAGTCCTCTAGAGTTTGTCCCCAGACTGGTTACAGGACAAGATCTGTCAAGGTTATTCTGGTGTACCCACTTTCTTCCCAAGCAGTGGCTGAAGGCAGTTGAGAAAACACACCTCTGCGTCACATTGCCTCGAGGCTTGTCCTCAGCCTGGCTCTAACCAAATAAAACCTGACCTTGCTTCCATTTCAGACAYTGTCTGCTGTTTCCCTTTGAATTTTGGCTTTGCAATCCAACAAGGAAGAAGCTGGCTGGCGTTTTGTGATCCCTTACACCGCTGGGCACAGAGGAGCCTCCTGTGCTCCCCGGTCTCTTTTGTGTTGCCTTTTGTGTGGCTTTGGCTTTTGGCTGCAGCCCCGCATTATTTTTTTCCCATCACAATTGGTGCTCTTCAAACATTGCAACTGTAGGTCACAGGCACAGAATTCCCTGTAACGAGAGCCTTTGGCATCTCCTCCTGCTGGCCTCGTGAGTTTGTCTCCGTGGCCTGTCTCGCTCTCCAACGCCTCCTCCAGCTCCCCCAACAATCGGCTCATTGTGTGATGATGGGGGAATATTTCTTCTCTGCTGTCCTTCCCACTGTCCTCCCCCACTCCCCAGCCTGGGAGAGGCAAAGACGGAGCCACCRTGCAGTGTTTGTGTAAAAGCATTTGTGATTGAGGGACCACGTATGGTTTTTGCCCCGCTAAATCCCCACTGCTGGGGTGGGAGGGAAACATGAATGTGTGAGCTGAGGCTGATGTAAAGCTGCCTCTGTTCTCTGCACTTTTGGCTGAGTGTCAGCTGAGAAGAAAAGAAAACATGTGCTGGGCATGGACATGGCCGAGCAGGGTTTGTGTCCCCAGGCATGTGCAGGGRTGCCTGACCCTGGCCAGGGAGGTGGCAGCTCATCTGCACAAGGTCTTTGTGGTGAGGCAGAGTGTGGGGAGAGGCAGTCCCACATCAAACATCACTCTGGCCCCTAAGCACGTGTGTTATAGCCCCAAATTAATCTAGGATTGGTTGTTTGATGCTTGAAGGGAGACGTTTACTCCTGCCTGAAGCGTGAACATGCCCTGGTCTGCTCATGGCAGCAGTAATCCGTGGGCTGAGACCCAGGTGAAGGTGTGCCAAGCCATTCCTCTGCCTCCTGCCCATCAGTCCCGTTAACCCAGCAATTTCCTTTGGTCCTGGGAAGACACAGGACCACACACATTTCTGATATGTGAAATAACCACTCTTTCCTTTGGTCCCTTAAATTAGCCTGCCACTTCTCTGTTCATGCTCATGTGCTTGCTGGTATCCCTGGAGCAGAGGCAAAAGGTCTTTTCCCTTTTCCTTCCTGGGGCAAAGGAGCACCCTGGAAAGGCTTGGTTAATTTAAGTCCTCCAAGGCTGTTGTGGGATGCAAGTACTGACTGCAGGGTGATTGCTCCAGCTCAGCATGGATGGATGCTGCCAGCAGGCATCTTGCTCTTTCCATTTAGCAGAGCTGAGGTGATGGGGGGCCCCCTGTGGTAGTGGGAGCTGTATAGTCTGTAAGACAGACAAATCCTTGCCTGAAGAGCTTAAAGTCTAAATGGGGAACAGCTAGCAAGGAGTGGGGGAGTKTGTAGGAAGCTCAGGTGTGCTACTTCGAAGGGCAGAAACTGCACAGGTCTGGATTCCTGAATTTTTGAAGTCAAATCAGTGCTCTGCTTGTTACAGCATGTGAGTTTTTTATCCTGCAAATCTAACCAGACCTTCTGGAGTAAGCTCTGCCTCTCCCTGAGAATGCTGGAGTTGCTCAAGTCAGCAGTGTTTGCCAGCAGGCTGGAAGGGCAAACAACCTGCTCCAGCATCCCTGTGCCCAGGCATGTTCTTGGCTTTGCCCTCTTGATGTGGTCCTTGAGCATCTCTCCTRGCAGGTGGTGCTCTGGGAGCGAGCACAGTTTTGGGAGCACTGTGGAGTCTGTCCCTCGTTATTGCAGGCAACTGCGTCATCTAATCCCCCTCCTAATCCGCTCAAGCTTCATCTCGGGAGTGCTCAGGSGTTTGTTTTCCTTGCTGCTCCTTCTGGGAGGCTGTTCCAGAGCTTTGTTTTTCTGGCTGGAAACCTTTTAACGCTGTTCATGGCCAGCTGATACCTTGTTCTCATGCCAGTGTTTTCCCTGAGCTTAAATGAAGAGCAACCACAATCACAGAGCACTTAACTCTAGAGCCCTAGAACTGAGATAAGGGTGCTACAACCAGGCCTTGAGATGCCTCCCCCTCTGCACTTTGCATTCAGCAGTATATCARTCTTATCCCCAAATGTTTTATTTCATTGCCATAAGCAGGCAGTGCTCCAAAGTTCTGCACACTCCCTGCTCAAGAGTCCTGTTAACTTAATTCTGTCTCTTCCAGAGAAATACATGGAGTTTGACCTGAACAACCAAGGCGAGATTGGTGAGTGACTCTGAGGGATGCTGGGCTGGAAGAGCCTGTCTGCTGCTGAACCTGCTGCTGAATGCCCTCTGCATTCGTGGTGCTGAGGAGGAAAGCTTGTGGGCTTTTCCTGTGTCCAGCCTTGCTTGGATCCTGATCTCCAGCCAGGGGCTTCCTTGGCTCTCCAGCCCCTGCCTCTCAGCTTCCTCAGTCTCTCCTTGCCTACTTCAAGATCTAAGCTCTTCTCAGTGCTGTTCTCCTGACGTTCTGTTTATCTCTTCCACTTCTTTCTGCTCTAAATGTTTTTTTCTTCTCCCTTTTCCTCCACTGAGTTCTTCTTCTCAATGCTCTGCTGGGAAGATAGGAATTCAAAGCTGGAAACCTGCAGAACTTGGACAATACCAGGGTTTGCTGGGCTTGAGGCAGGAGTTGTATAAATCCATGAGCACTTGTGGTGCAGACAAGCTCTTTGCTTTGCAAGGAGGGGAGTGGAGGGAAGCGAAGGACTTGGGTGTGAGTCTGGCTCAGCTGAGCAGCCCTGCTTTGGGTCCAAAAAGCACCAGTTACGTAAAGTTCCAGCCTCCTGCAGGGCCGGAGCTGACACTGAAATGTAACCACTTGTGTGCTGTGCCCTTGTGGGAAGCTGCTGCCTGGTTCCCCTCCTCCACAAGTCCTCCAGCTGAAATGAAGCCTGTGGGGAGCTGGAAGAAGCCTGACTCAGGGTTTCCGGGAGGGAAGGGGCCCGCAGGTCTCAGCAGGCAGCGCTGCAATGGGAGGAAGTGGCCTGGGGCGATGGGCAGGGGCGTCTGCTCCCCACTGCGTGTTTGTCTCCAGCTTTAACCCCGGTGTTGCTTCCCTCCTCCCCATCCTTGTGATTCTTGGCACCACACTCCCAGCTAAAGAGCACTGTAGAGCACTGTCCCCACGTGTGTCTGGAGCACTTGGAGAGTTATCCCTCTTCTCTGAGTGTGTGGTGCTTTTACCCTGAGCTGTTTCACTGGGAAGTGATGCTTTGTTCAGGGCAGAGTGGCAGTGAGCTGCACTGGAAGGCTTCTCGTGGCCTTTGGCAACAGCTTAATGCTGTTGGCCACAGAGCGCACAGGTGAGGTGGCCTGGGGTGGGAACTCATGGCCCTAGGRTTGGTCTGGGGTTACCTCTTGACAGCAGCGATTACCTCGCTCTTGCAGATTTGATGTCTGTCAAAAGAATGATGGAGAAGCTGGGGGCTCCAAAGACCCACCTCGAACTGAAGAAGATGATCTCCGAGGTGACTGGAGGGGTCAGCGACACCATCTCGTACCAGGACTTTGTCAACATGATGCTTGGGAAACGCTCTGCTGTGCTGAAACTGTGAGTCCCGGGATGGAGCGGGGCGGGGGAGCCCAGCAGGACCCGAGCTGCTGTGTTGGGAAGCACAGGCTGTTCTGTCTGTGGAGCTGGGGCTGTGCACACTCGGTGTTCATTGGGGAGATGAGGATCCTGGTGCAGGGGGCTCTGCAGGGTGCCAGGGGAGGGTGTGTGAGCCCATGTCCAGCAGTGAGTGCTCCCAGCAGAGCTGCCCGCTGTGTGTTAGCACAGGCTCCCTCCCATGTGCTCCAGGGGAGCCATCCCCCTCCTTTCCCCAGGCTGTGCAGCCATTCAGCASTGCAGGGCTTTCCCCTGTCTCTTCCCTGAGGTTCCTGCTGGCTTTGGGGTCACGGGCTTCCCCTGTGGATGGTGGCAGGACTTGAGCAGTGAATGATGGTCCTGCCACCACCAGTAGTGCTGGCTCCTGTTTCCCACAGCATGCTCCATCTCTGCTTGACTTTGGGCAGTAGATGGAGATGGGACACATGCTTGAAACAGCTGGCTCGTGCTGGGAGAGGTTTTCTGTGGTACAGGCTGCCAGCACTAGCCTCCCACGGCCCCCTCTGCCCTCTCAACAGGGCTCTGAAAGTGCTGCTCTAACAAATGGCTTCCAAACACTCGCTTGGCTCCATCTCCATCCCATTGAAGCCCRGCGTTTCCTTTCACAGCTCAGAGGCTGGCCCTGCTTTTGTGTCTGAAACCATGAATAGGAGCTGATCCTCTCCATCCTCCTTACCCTTTTTTGAAGGCAGCTTTAGAAACACAGCCARCTCTCAGGGCAGGTTGGGAGGAAGGATCTTGCACCCACCTCTCACGTGGTTTCTCTAAGCTGGGATGTGGTTGCTGGCAGAGTCTCTGCACTGTGTGCTGTGTCTGTGTTGGGATGCTCCTCTTCCAAGCACACACTGACTTCTGACATCCCTGCTCCTCCTTTTTCTCCACCAGAACCAGACTGARCCTGCAGCCTGTCCCGTATCTTCCATCCCTCCTCCCAACTGCAACAGTTTTCACAAACAGGTCCCTTCTCTTGCTAACAGACACCCCATTGTCTGCAGGACTCTGTACAGCAGGAGCAGAAATGTAAAACTCGTCCTAAGAGCAGTGCAGCCTTTGATCCATCGAGGCAGCTGGCATTCCCAGCGTAGCTCCAGTCCTCAGGGAGGAAGACAATGCTAGTGGTTGCAAAATGCTTGAGATTCCTACAGSCAGTGCCTTGCTCCTTGTTTTTGCTCTCTCCCCTGGCTGAAATTGCTGCTGCTGCTTGCTCKGTGTTGGCTTCTGAATGCTCTGCTGTGTGGGTATGTGCAAGGTGGGCCAGGAGTGCTATTTGCTTTTACGCATCAGGAGTATTTGGCATGCAGTGTGTGCCCAGGGGATTTCGGAAGTGGCTGTCTAAATMAAATGTGCTAATCCTCTGGGCTCTGAGAGGGAAACCGGCAGAGACTTCGGGAACCCATCCTGGTAGCTGCTGGAAAAGCCAGCCTGGCAGCACTGCCCTCTGTTGGCTTTCCCTCCCTTATTAATTATCGGGTGCCCTTTGCAGGAGAGCCAGATGCTCTTTTCCAGCAAATAATGCCACCCTCAATGATGGATAATCATGAATTTGCTTTTTTTTTTTTTTTCTTTTTTTTTTTTTCTAAATTGGCAGTATCTGTTGTGTTTTGCAGGGTCATGATGTTTGAAGGAAAAGCCAAYGAAAGAAACCCAAAACGTTCTGGTCCACCTCCAGAGAGAGACATAGCCAGCCTCCCTTGAAGAAGACAAGCTATAAAATGGGCACTGTTTGCTTTGCTGGTCTGTAACAGAGGTTACCTGTGCTTCCTTACTCTTTACTGTGGACAGTCCTAGTTTTCAACTAACCTGCCTTAGAGGAACAGAAAGGGAAGCTGGAGACCCCCAGCTCATGTCTTTCTGCTGCATCCCTTAGCCAGTGTGATCTGTTAGACAGAAGCTGTAGCACCAAGTGTAATGTGAGACCAAAAAGAACAAAAAATACCMTGGGATTTTACTCTTTCCTCTGCCCTTCCTGCATTTCTTAGACGAGGAGCTCTTTTGTTCCCAGCATGTGGATTCAGGGCTGTGCTTATCACAACAGGTTCCTAATGGTCCTTGCTGCCAGACRTAGACAAAGCCCCTGAGAGCAGCTTCAGGGTGCAAAGACTTAAGTGCCTTCTCTGCTCCATCCCCCCCTTCCTACTTCAGATTTAGTCCTTCCYCTCCTGACCTCCCCAAAATGCAAATCAGGCTCCCACGACTGTCTGATGATAAGGGGAATGTGGGAATGTGCTTGGACACAGAGATTTGCCTGCCCAGCCTTTGGAGTGGGCACCGCTGCCTGCAGGGACAGCTTGTGTCTGCTCCAGGGGCTCATCCTGCAGGCAGATCTTAGGGTCCCCCACCAGCCACTGCAAAGGGGGATGGTTAAAACCACCCCGAGGACCCCCTCCCTGATAAATCTCAATTTGGGTCTGACCAAGAGTGTAACCTCTGAGCAGGTGATTGTCCCGTCCATGAGATGCAGAAACAAGCTGTGATGCCTTTGTAGCCCCACAGGATGCCTGGGGCAAGTGAAACCTTCRGGTGAAAGGAAGCTGAGTGACCAAACTGAGCCCTACCAGACCAGCTGCAGATGAGGATCTGTCCTCAGGCAGCTGCTCTGGCCCCCTGATTTTTGCAGACCTCYCTGTGCGTGTTTCAGCTTGGTACCCTGGGACTGTCCATTTCCCTGAGGGACAAGCCCTCAAGTCTGCAAAATAAGAACGGCTCTAAGTGTGGAATATGAGCTGGGACTGTGCTATCCATGCTCTGGTTACTGGGGTGATTCTTGTTCCATACACAATTTCTGGAATCCAGGTGTTTGCTCTTTGCCCTTTCCCTACTCTYTTATTAAACGTTCTTGACAGCTTTTAACTTTTTTAAATCATGGTTTAATAAGTACATTTTTTTAAAAGGAAATAAAGRTGATTAATTGTACTAGGCTGATTGTTCCTGCCAAAGGCTGCACTTTTAAATAAAGAAAAGACACAACAAAAACATTCTCACTACTGTTTGTGCAAAAACCAAAACTGTAAGGGGGAGAAAAATTATGAGCAAAAGCAGCACCAGTCTACTTCAAGAACTGAAAATAAATCTTCTGAAGCTACCCTGTGTGTCAGTGTATATTGTTATCTCCTCTGAAGCTCAGTCCATATGATTGGTTGCAGATTAAGGGAGCTGGTTTCCAAGTCTGTTAATATAAACCCTTAAACAGATCCTGGAGCTAGGTTTGGACTGTCTTGATCTGATCTTTATCTGTAATAACTGACTGAAAGCYGTGGAGTTTGTGTGATGAAATGCAGAGGCCACCTCCTGAAAGCTGGCGCTTTTTCCTGTCTTACTGAAAAAGAGCAGGTGCCAGTGCTTGTTTTAAGGAATAACTTGTTTATTGAGAGCAGACACTTGCAATATGTCTCTTGAAGGAGGCTGTTTTTTTGGTTTTTTTTTTTTTTTTTAATTCTCTCTGTTGAAGCAATTGCCTGAGGTTCTTGTCTGATGTGAATTATCAAAAGGGGAGATCAGGCTTCCTGGGGAATGGCTGGATACACTTCTTTKCCATGTGTTTCTCAAAAGCACAGGATTTCCCTGAGATCAGAGCCCCATGTCTGTGTCCTGCTACCTGGTAGCCTCTGGGAATGCACCTGCTTTTCCTGGCCACGTGTGTTGGAGCTGTTGTTCAGTTAGAAAATAAAGGAAGTGTGTTACACGAGGGAAATTTGAATGTGGTTTGCCACAGTGCAGGTCACTGCCCAAAGCCATCGCTGTTTGTCTCTGTGGGAATCCATGTCCTTTTTGGTCCTGAAAAAGAGAATGACCTGCTCGAGCTGGAAACAGCCCTTCTCAAAGTGTCCCAGAGGGCTGAGTGCTGACCTTCTGTCTAAGTGGGAGCTGAGCCCCTCAAAACTTGAGRAGCAGGTAAAGAAATCAAGCACCTGGTGTGATCAAGCCCCCACAAACTGTTTTTGTGTGGTCCTGGAGCACAGTAAGGCTGTTCCAGTTTGCAGAGCTTCCATGATTCCAGCTCGGCCACCCTAAATCGGTGCTGTGCAGGTACTGACCCAGGATATCCCTGCACTCCCATTGTAGCCCATGCCAAGGGAGCAGGATTTTACCAGAGGAAAGACACGAAACTGTGTCAGGAGAGGGTTAGGTTGGAATTAGGAAAAGGTTATTGCCCCAGAGGGTGGKGTGGRGTACTGAACAGGCTCCCCAGGGAATGGTCAAGGCCCCAAATTTGCCAGAGCTCCAGGAGCGCCTGGACAAGGTTCTCAGGGACCTGGTGGGATCCTTGGGTTGTGCTTGCAGAGTCAGGAGATGGATTTAATGATCCTTGAGCATCCCTTCCTTCGCTGGATTTTTTGTGATTCTTCAGACTTGAAGCAACATTAGATCTCTGRTTCAGGAAAAGCATCGAAACTCCCCCTCACCAAGGGCTGGTGGCTCCACCATGGCTTGGCAGGGACAGCCAGAGCCCGTCCCTGGCCACAGCGGGGTCTGTCCGCTCAGGGTCTGTCCCCTCAGGATCTGTCCCCTTAAGGTCTGTCCGCTCTGGGTCTGTCCCCTCAGGGGCTGTCCTGTCCGCTCAGGGTCTGTCCCATCAGGGTTTGTCCCCTCAGGGTCTGTCCGCTCAGGGTCTGTCCCATCAGGGTTTGTCCCCTCAGGGTCTGTCCGCTCAGGGTCTGTCCCCTCAGGGGCTGTCCTGTCCGCTCAGGATCTGTCCCCTCAGGGTCTGTCCCCTCAGGGGCTGTCCCCTCAGGGGCTGTCCTGTCCGCTCAGGGTCTGTCCCCTCAGGGGATGCGGCCCCTCAGACGGAGCGGGGCAGGGGGCTCCTTCTGCTCCCACCGCCTCAGAACGTGTGGAAAAATCAGCGCGAGAGAGCACAGCCTTAAACTGCGCCAGGCTGGAAATTGGGAGGAATTGGGAGGAAAGGRTGATT